AGAAATAAACTCTTAGTACTTAGACAGCTCAGGTGTGAATAATAACAGCTGGTTGCACACATACCTGAGTGCCAACAAGAAGCCAAATGTCTATCTATCGTAACTTACCATGCTGATCCACACTGCAGAACCAGACAATAAAACGAAGCTGACCAGACTCCTGAATTTCCCCTTAGTGAGCATTCCCTATGTGTCTTCTCCTTTCAGGGCTGAATGGTGACGACTTCCTGGCAGTGGGCCTGCTCAATGGCAGTGTGGTTTATAGTTATAACCTGGGCTCTGGTACAGCAAGTGTCAGGAGTGAGCCCCTCGATCTGAGCCTTGGAATCCACACCGTCCGTCTGGGGAGGTTCTTCCAAATGGGCTGGCTGAAGGTAAAGAATCATTCCTTCATCTGCCCCACGAACCACTGAGCACTAGACTATTGTTGGATCCATGCTCAGGTGCAGAGGCGAATAGGCCAGGATGCCAATATCCACAAAGTTCACAGACTAGTGCACCAAATAGAGGAATAGAGACATGATTACGCTTAATGGTGTGAGAATAAGTGAGAGGGATTACTAACAGAGATAAGGGTGAGAGAGAAGGTTCAGGAGTTGCTTCTCAGAAAAGGTGATGCTTGAGCATAACTTTAAATTCGAGTTGGGAAAAATAACAGTGGCTAGTATGAGCTTAAGGAATGCAAGTAGTTTAGTGTGGTTTTCGGGTGGGGGGATTGAGGAGCAAGAGATGTGGTTAGAAGTAGACAAGGTTCTATATTATCAAAGGACTTTGGTGTCATGCTAAGAAGTTTAGGCTTTTATCCAAAGAGCCATGGAGAACTACTTAAGAAGGGTTGGGGGGTGGAGAGGTACCATGGTTGATTTCTATTTTTGATAAATGACTCTGATGGTTGTATTAAGAACTGACAGGAGAGGGGACAAGGCTAGACGGAGGAGGATCAGCAGGATGCCAGCTCCTAATCTTTGAAGAACTGTGATTTTGATTGAAATGCGAAACCATAACTGCTATATTAATATATCCATGGTAACAGAAACCAGCAGAGAAGCAGAGAATTGAGTGGTATTATGTTTTTTATTTCTTCAAAACTCAGGTCTTTATAAATTTTTCATGCCAAGTGTAATGGGAAATAACAAAAGAGTATCTTAACAGTTTACCCTGAGGAATTAATTCCTTTTTAAATAGGTTTTGAATTTTTTTTTTCCTTTTGAAGGTAGATGATCATAAAAATAAATCCATCATCGCCCCAGGAAGACTGGTTGGTCTCAATGTCTTCAGTCAATTTTATGTAGGTGGTTACAGTGAATACACTCCAGACCTCTTACCAAGTGGAGCTGATTTTAAAAATGGTTTTCAAGGTAAGGCATGGACAGTTTTTATACTATACCTAATTATTTCAAATTTTGAGGGGAAAAAAATGCTCTTAAAGAGCATATTTCTAGTTCCCAAACCAGTTATAGGTCAAAATTGTTTCTAATTAGAATTGAACAAAGTTTGATTTTAATCAAAAGTATTCGTTCATTATTTATTGATACCTTATTACGTATGTACTAGGTATTTAGGATGTTTCAATGAACAACAAGATTCTTGTTCTCGTGAGTTTACATTCTAGTTGAAGAGATGAGGGAACAGACAATAAACATTAAATATAATAAATAAGAAAAATATATCGCAGTATAATGTAATAAATTCAATAGGAAAAAAGTAAATGGAGAGTCTGATATGGGGAACCAGGAGTTTTGGTGATTTTTTTATATAGGGTGTTTTTTAATATGAGATGAGCAGGGTAGGCCCCATGGAGTCACAGAAAAAACTGAAACTCCATCTAACTTATGTACTTGATATAAAGGGCAAGAGACAGACAGCTGTCTACCCTTCCATACCACCAAGGTGTGGCCCACAGAGGGCACAGCAAGCCAAGAGGATTAAAGGCAGCATTGTCCTTGGGTGGACATTGTCCTTGGGTGAATGGATAATCATATTGCCATAGTCTGTCTACCTGTATTTAAAAAAGGAACAAAGGCTCAGACCTTCCCTATAAAGCTGGTTCATACTGTAGTAGAACAAGGATAAGCTTTGAATTGTTGTAATAATTTAGTTGGTGAAATTTTTGGTGTGTCCAAGCCCCAGAGTGTTTGGTGAAAGGGCTGCTCATATGGCGTCCACAGCCACTCACCCAGGCCCAGCGTACTGTCCATCAGAAGTCAAGGAACAGGCTGGGCACAGTGGCTCACACCTGTAATTCCAGAATTTTGAGAGGCTGAGGTGGGAAGATCACTTGAGGCCAGGAGTTTGAGACCAGCCTGGGCAACATAGTGATACCCCATCTCTACAAAACAAATTTTTAAAAAATTAGCTGGGCATGGTGGTACACGTACCTGTAGTCCCAGCTACTCCAGAAGCTAATGCAAGAAGATCACTTGAGCCCAGGAGTTCAAAACTGCAGTGAGCTATAATCAGGCTACTGCACTCCAGCCTGGGCAACAGAGTGAGACCTTGTCTCTAGGGAAATAAAGAATTCAAGGAACAGAGACTCGGATCCCTGAGAGACAAGAGCTGCCATCAAACACTATCTCAGGCCCTCGAGTCTTCTGCGTGCTTGGCAGCATCTTTTTCTCCACCTCGACTGACTTCTGCTTAAACACAAGTGCAGGAGGCCACGTACTGAAATATATGAAAGCAATACAACTAATCCAGCATAATGCAAGGTCAGGTTCTACCAAAATTACTTCATTTTACTAAGGCTCTCAAAGAAACTTCTTCTTTGAATATGTAATCAGTGATGATTCTCAGAAGGGTGTCTTGAAGAATGGTTTAAAGCCTCTTATGGCACTATGCTAAATGTAATAGAGAGCTCAACAGTGCTTTCACAGCGGGCAATAATCTGAAAAGGATTGTAAAGGCATAACAAATCAATGAATTTCTTAAAACATTATATTTAAGGAAAGGAATGGGTAAACTTACGAATGTTAAAGACATATATCTTCTACTCAATGAAGCAGAAACCCTGTAGGAGGGCGATCAAAACCTGCTGTAATTTCTCATAGACACAGTCCTCACATGAGTACATTGGATTGGATGATTCCTCTGTGTAACAGGCTAGTGTAGCATGAAGGATAAGAGCGTGGACTCTGGGACCCAGCTGCCAGGATAAATGTCCAAGCTCTGCCACCTACAGGCTTCGTGGCTGTGGCTAGTCACCTAACCTCCCCGTGCCTCACTGTGCCTTAGATATAAAATGGGATTAATACCAGTATTTCTCTTGCTATGTAATTCTAAGAGTGAGTTAATGGAGAGAGGACACAGATAAGTGCCTACCGTGTTTCCCCGAAAATAAGACCTACCCATAAAATAAGCCTTAGCAGGATTTCTAAGCATTTGCACAATATAAGCCCTAACCCGAAAATAAGCCCTAACCCTAAGACCTAGTGATGGGCGTGGCTACACAGCGTATCTGCACAACCCATGCATTTCGTGGCACAGTGGTAAAGAAGATGAGCAGCCCTTCTCATCTGCCCCATGAGAGTTCTGTTGCTTGACATGAGATATCAGGGCCAATGATTCTAAGGGAAATAGAGTCGCAAGAAATTCAGGATGTATTTCAGGGTTTGGAGAGTTACAATGATGTTCCAGAAGAAGACGATTTAACTATACTTGAATAAATGTAGATTGTTGTGCTGTACTTAAAAAAAATAACACATCCCCTGAAAATAAGCCCTAGGGTGTCTTCTTGAGGAAAAATAAATAAAAGACCCTGTCTTATTTTCGGGGAAACACGGTAGTATAGAGCAAGTTCTATGCGTTAGCAAAGATGATGGTGCTGGAAGTGATAAAGGCACAGCTCCGGTCAGATGCTCACTTCTCTTCCTCTGCAACAGATGATGGTTAAGAGCACAGGCTCTGGAATCGATCTGTCTTCAGCTGCCACCTAGCAGCTATGTGAATTTCAGCCTGTTACTTTAACTCTCTGGGCCTCCATTTGCTCCTCTGTAAAATAAAAATACCTATTCCATAGGGTTCTTGTGGTTCATCAATTAAGTAAAATAATTATGTTAAAGACTTACCCCAGAAACCAGCATACCATAAACACTAAATAAATGTTAACTTTTACTATTACTCCACCTGCTGTCACAGGATTCAACATTTTCAAATTTGTTGAAGTCCAGTGCTTCCTCCTGGTTTATGTTGGTGTCGTTTTCTCCTTAAGTGTGGCAATGAGCCTGAGTTCAGCACAGACATAACTGGCCCTTCTCTGATAGAAAGGCTAGGATCACACACCCCTGGAAGCATGTCAGCTGCCATGGTTCTTAGGATATAAGTCTTGGGCAGGTCTTCTTGGTAATTACCTCTTTTTTTTTTTTGAGACAGAGTCTCGCTTTGTTGCCCAGGCTACAGTGAGTGCCATGGCGTTAGCCTAGCTCACAGCAACCTCAAACTCCTGGGCTCAAGCAATCCTTCTGCCTCAGCCTCCCCAGTAGCTGAGACTACAGGCATGCGCCACCATGCCCGGCTAATTTTTTCTATATATATTAGTTGGCCAATTAATTTCTTTCTATTTATGGTAGAGACAGGGTCTCGCTCTTGCTCTGGCTGGTTTCGAACTCCTGACCTCGAGCAATCCGCCCACCTCGGCCTCCCAGAGTGCTAGGATTACAGGCGTGAGACACCGAGCCCGGCGGTAATTACCTCTTAATCCACAGTCTTATGGAAGATCCAGGACTTTGGAAGCCCTAATTTTATCATCCATCTAATGGATCTTCTTTTGATGTCTGCCTTCCTTCCATTACAAACTAGTATTTGCTATTTATTGCAGATGATGGACAATTGTTACCAACTTACCATAGCAACCAAATTGCAATGGTACCATAAACCCATGGTTTCCAAAAGCTTATTTCTACTTGTTCTAAAGAATAATACAGTATAACTTCTTAAAAGTATAGATTTCTGGACCTTACCGCCAAACTACTTAATTGAAATCTCTACAGTAGAGTCTAAAAATTTTAGAAAAAGAAAATTATCTTTGCTTTGTTATGATTAATTAATATAGTGGCTTCTCTATTAATTCATCTCTATTAATTAATCATAAAGCAAAGAGAATTTTCTTAACTTAATAATTAGGGTAAAGATATCACATTTTTCTTTAGAGTAGCAGTTAAATCACATAATAAAAGATTATCTGATTTAGGCTTTGCATTTCTATAAACTCTCTTGATAAGTAAATCTAATGCAAAATTCTCAATCTAAAATACAAATCCTTACTGCTAATAAAGCCCATTTGTTTTTGTTCTGAAAATGGTTTATAATGAACCATTATTTTGTCTATAACCTTTAATGTTCATAAAGATATTGAGGTTAAATGGATTAAATAATGTACCTATGCCAAGCAAGCAGTGGCTTACTGCTTTGCCTGCTCAAATAAGAGCAATTCTCTTCTCCTCTGCTCTCCAAAGTTGCATCTATTACAAATCTGCAGAGTTTGCAGATTGAGGTTCACAGATGGTGGTATTTGACTGACAAGAAAGGAAGGAAAGAAGAAAAAAAAGATATGGAGGAAGGGAAAAGAGGGAGGAGGGGGGAAAAGCAGTAAAATAAGTTAGGACACAAGTGATAATAAGCTGAATCCGTTCACTATACGGTCTGACAATGCTCTGTTGCCTATAATCTTGCTCCACAGTTAATTGTTCTAAAGGAAGTTACAGAAATGGAATGACTGAAGTCAAATATCTCAGCCTCACTACAAATGCCTTTTCACAATATACTTCTTTATTTATCTCTTTTACTATTGCTACTGTCTCCCTGATACTTGTTTGAATTCTTTGCACAATAGTTCTCAAAATGTGGTTCCTGGACCAGCAACATAAGCATCACTGGGGAATTTGTTAGAAATGTAAATTCTTACTGAACCAGAAATTCAGGGAATGGGGCCCAGTAATATGTATTTTTACTGATCCTTTCAGGTGATTCTGATGCAGCTAAAGTTTGAGAACTAGTTCCTCACTATTATCTTTGACTCCTCCCTCATTACCTAAGACATCAGAACACTATTGCCACACTGTTGCATCATGTCACTTTCCTGCTCAAAAACTCAATGAACATGTCACCAGCTCTAGAATAACTAAATTCTTTCCTTGGCATTCCAAAGCTGGTACATTTTGTCTATACTTACCTTGCCTCCACAAATTTTTTATTCCATCAGAAGTTACCTATATTATGCCCAGCATAGTGGCTCACACCTGTAATCCCAGTGACTTGGGAGGCTGAGGCAGGAGGTATATATATATATATTATATATATATATATATAGAGAGAGAGAGAGAGAGAGGAGAGAGAGAGAGAGAGAGATTTATTATAAGGAATTGGCTCACACAATTATGGAGGCTGAGAAGTCCCAAGATCTGTAGTCAGCAGCCTGGATACCCAGGGAAGTGACATGTAGTTCTAGCCTAAGTCTGAAGCTCTGAGAACCAGGAGAGCCAATGGTATGAGTGCCAGTCTTCATAACTCAAAACCCAAGAAGAGCCAATGTTTAGTCCAAGTACAGAGACCAGAAAAGACCAATGTCCCAGCGAAAGCAATCAGGCAAAAGGAGTTCTCTCTTAGCTTTTTTTGTTCTATTCAGGTCTTCAATTAGTTGTATGAGAACCATCCACATTAGTGAGGGCAATCTACTTTACTCAGTTTATCAATTCAAATGTTAATCTCATCCAGAAACACCCCCCACAACCTCCCCCCAACACACTACACCCCAACCCACTCACAGAATATGTTTGGCCAAACATCTGGACACCCTATGGCCTAGTGAAATTGATACACAAATTAACCATCACTGTATCTAATCACTGCCTCTTTGTGTCTTCCCTATCTCAATTCCATGTGCCTTGAAAGTCAGCTTAAATCCCACCTCTTCAGTGAGATCCCACTCTCTGAGCCCTCAATGTGAGCTCTCTCTCCTCTCTCTTCTCTCTCCTCTCTTCTCTCTCCTCCAAAGCTCTAGAGCTCCAAGTCCTTCCCACTTTGCATTTCACTACCTAGTATAATTATATGTCTAGAGAATGTATGTCTTAACTTCCTAAGAATTTAGTAAGCTTCTGGAGAAGAGGAGCTATAGTTTTGACTTATAACACATCTCCATAGCACCTGGAATGGTACTTTCGCATAATAAGAGCTTTGACAGAAGTTGTTACAACTAGACTCTTTCCCAGACTGCCTTGCTGCTGTGTATGACCATGTGACTGAGTTCTGGCCAATGAAATGCCAGCAGGTGTGACATTTGCTACTTCCAGGTCTTGCCTATGAAAACCCTCCATACAATCTTCCACTCTCTTTGCCAACCTATCCCAGCTCCAACCCTGGCCACTCTTTGGACTTTACATGAACAAGAAATAAATTTATAATGTTATAGCAACTAGTGGTCATTGATATGGGGGTTATTAAATATTTATTACTCAACTGAATACAGTGGGCATGCAATGGATTCAGATTCATTAACAACACTGTAAAAAAGATGTTATTCAATTTTAAAAAATATATAACACTCTACATTCAGTTTTTTGCTAGTTCGACTTTTTCTCTTTTTTTTTAATTGTATAGAATTTTTCAAATAAGAGCCCATATGGGAAAAAGTAATGAGTTTACTGCAATAGTTTTAAAAACTTAACTGTCTAATAAAAAAAAAGCTATCACTTATTTGACACCTCGCCAGTCTTACTTTCCAATATACACATGGCTGATCACTCCAAATTACAATAACTTTACCACAGGTAGGCTATATGTATTATATATTAAATGCCTGTTTCATTGTGCTACACTAAGTGGATTATGTTTTAATCTCCTATATTAATGACAATAAAATTATATAATATATACTCTACAATGTCTCCCCTGTAATCACCATAATTGCCTTTAAACTGCATGCTATGTTGACTGACATGAAGCATCTCTCAGTAAAATAAACACATTTAGTTATTTGTATTGACTAAATGTTTCTCTAAATGTAGCATTGCCACATTTTTAGCTAAAACTGTGTTTCAGCAGTTTCTTGTAATGAAAGCATTTTGTTTATCCATATGAAAGAGAAATAGTTTAAAATGAACACTTTCAAACATTAACATAGTCATTCAGCAAAGTATTTTTATGTGTGATTATAAAAAATATAAAAATCTAGTATTAACATCCCACAATTTTTGCTAAAATTAAATCTCCAATTTTATAAAGGAAATAGGTTTCTGAGACAGTGTAATAGAGGGTGGGGTGGAATACAGGACCTACTACTTTCCAAGTGTTATACAAAGTAATTTATGTATCTTATCTTATTTATTCCTCCTAATCCATGGAGTAGTTATTTTTGTTCTCATTTAGGCTTTGGATCATCTAGCCACTATGTGGCAAAGATCCTATTTGAACCCAGACCCACCTGACTCCATCCCTGCTTATACTTTTGTTCCCTGAAGAGTGCATTTCCTTCTCTAAAAGGCATGGGAAACCCTGCTTTGTTAGTTGAGCTACTTGGTTATTCAGTATAAAGCAGCTAGGATTCATTCATTTCTTCAGTACAGTATTTCAGTAGTTTTTTTATGTAATAGCAGATGGCAATACTTGGAGAAAGAACAAAGATTAAACCTAAGGAGAAAAAAATCACTGTTCTCTCATAATGAGAAAATATCAATGCATGCTGAGAATGGTGCTTCTCAGTAAAAGTGCCAGTGAAAACTAGGTCAGAAAGTAAATTCTTGACTTTCCAAAACAGAACTCCCCTTTTTTTTTCACCATGAAGAATTATTCCATACTTTTAGCTTCTTAAAATGCTTTGGAAATAAAATCCCATCTAGCCTTTCTTTTATCATTTTAATGACTTTATTCGTGGTTGATGTCTCTATTGATTTGAAAGAACTTCATAAGCAAATTCTACGTAAGAGCTGAAGAAGAGGAGTAAAATTACAATACATTTCAGGACCCCAAGCCCTTCCATTTCAAATTCTTCACTGAACTACTCTTTTTGTTTATCTTGAGTTAGAAAAGACCTTTCTAGGTATACTTGCAAACGCAAAATCTCTGAAGGAAAAAAAAGATAATTGTAACAAATAAATATTATAAACTTCTTTACATAAAAAATATAAAAACACCACCATAAGCAATATTAAATGGCAGATATTAAACTGAGGAAAGTATTTACAATATACCATAAATAGCCAATATGTTCATTATATAAAGAGGTCTTCCAACTAAATATTTTTTAAAAAGTAGATAGAGGGGGAATAAAAAGTACATAGCAAGCAACTGAAAAGGAAAAATTACAAATGACCGATAAATTTATTAAAAGATTTTGAACTCCAGTTAAAACCACCAAGAGTATTATATCAGTTATCTCATGTAAAAATGAAATAGAATGATAATACCCTGCACTGTGGTGCCTGGGAAGAAGTGAGAATCTCAGTCTGCTGGGGCCAGTTGTACAAAGTATCTATGGGATATTCTTGGGCATACTTCCAAGCATCCATATCCTTTGTCCTAGTAATTCTACTCCTAGAAATGTGTACTAAGAAAATAATTAGAAAATGCACAAAGATATACATACAAGATAATTATTATAGCATTATTTCTAATAGCAAAAAAAATAAATGAGTCAATTGTCCAATAATTGAAGGTTGATTAACTTTGTTATGATATTAGAAAATATTTTTCCATCATTTAAAAATAGTTAATGCTACAAAAAAATAGTTAATGATGTTTATAATATGTTCAACTTTTTGGTATAATATTACATATTATATAGTTTAATGTAATATTCCATTTTTATTGAAGAGAAAATACAACTAAGCATAGAAAAAAATACTATATGTGTTTATGTACACACATGCACACGCATACCCTCAGAGCAAAATGTTAATAGTTGTCTTCTCTGAAGTGATGATACTATGGATGATTTTTTTTTATTTTTCTCTCTGTGCTTTTATATGTTTTCTTAAAATTTACATGTGTTTATTTTGAAAAACTGTAACTTTAAAAATGAAAAAATAATTGTCTCCTTGTTTTATCTGCTTCTTCTGTTTGTTAATATAAAGTGGTTTTGCCTTTCTTCGAGGTTGTATTTTTACTATCCAAGTTCGTACTGAGAAGGACGGTCATTTCAGATGCCTGGGAAATCCTGAGGGCCATCCAAATGCTGGGCGCAGCATTGGCCAATGTGATGCTTCTCCTTGTAGTTTAATGAAATGTGGCAATGGTGGGACATGCGTAGAGAGTGGATCTACTGTTTAGTAAGTATGACATTATTGAGAAAGTAGCAGGCTAGTTGTGTTCTAATTGGTACTTTGGCATTCCACTTGCATAAACTAGCAACACAAACTGGCACTCATATTTTAAATGCTTTTATGTAAACTTGCTGGATTATGGGAAGACAGATGAAGGCAACTAGAAATAGGATCAGCACAGCATCTATGCTATCTTCTCAATTCTATTAAACAATGAAAATGAATCACTACATCTCATTCCAAGCATCATGGAAAATACAGATTAAATTCATAGTATTGAAAGAGTGGACAAAAATGTTAATCCTGCAAAGATTTACAAATTGGGATTTGCTTTCACATTTAGGTTTGAGCTACTTTAGAAAGGGCCTTCCCTAGGTGGGCAATAGTACAGCTACACAATTTGACTTCTGAACTACTTTAGTATGAAACTGAATGTGGACCTACTGAGTGAGAAGGAAAGAAAAAAAAAAGAATGTCATCGTATTTATAACTTCTTTTGTTGAGCATCTGCTCCATGCAAAAATATTATAGTGGATGAGGGCTCTGGGAATATCCCAAAGAAAGAGGAAGTAAGCACTCTGTCCTTCAATTTCTTACACTCTACCTATTCATAAATTTATTATGCCTCATACATATTTAAGACAGCTAAAAAAGTGATTTGGCAAAATGTTTCCCACAGGACACATCAAAAGGTTCCATGCAACCAGGTGCGGTGGCTCACGCCTGTAATCCTAGCACTCTGGGAGGCCAAGGCAGGTGGATTGTTTGAGCTCAGGAGCTTGAGACCAGCCTGAGCAAGAGCGAGAGTCCATCTCTACTAAAAATAGAAAGAAATTAGCTGGACAACTAAAAACATATATACATAAAATTAGCTGGGCATGGTGTCACATGCCTGTAGTCCCAGCTACCTGGGAGTCTGAGGCAGGAGGATCGCTTGAGCCCAGGAGTTTGAGGTTGCTGTGAGCTAGGCTGATGCCACGGCACTCTAGCCCGGGCAACAGAGTGAGACTCTGTCTCAAAAAAAAAAAAGAAGGTATCACACACTTCACCAGGAATGCCGGCTCATTGCATCAGAAGTTTCCTGGAGGACACAATCTCCCCCTGAAGAGGGTGTAGTTTTAAAAGCCATGAGTGAATCTCTTACACTCCCAGAACAATTCCCCTTCACCTCCTCAAGTGAAAATGATCCAAAACAAAGATCAAACAACTGCTAATCACAGTTAAATTTTTGGAGGAAAAAAATGTTTAGTTTAATCAAGCCCATAGAGGTACTAACGGCAAAACCTGAGGCTTGAGATGCCATTATCGTACAGTAATATTTTTTTACTTAGCTTTACCATTATGATTTCATCATTACTTCTCTACAATTTTTAATGAAACCTTTAGTTTGTTTTACAACTTATGCACTCTACTTTGCTCTACAACTAAGCTTAGTACTTTCTAAAGAAATGAGTTCATTCTTTAGGTGATACTACTAGGTATGTTTGTTATTTTTAAAGTGGAAATAAATAAATTGATAATAAATGTGATAATAAACGAAGACCCCGGAAAGAAGAAATAAGAACGCATATGAAGTTGAAGGTGGACACAGGGAATGCAGCACAACTCTCTGTTGTTCTATATGGAACAAATAGCCTAACTGAACTTCAGAGCCACATTTAGTTTTTTTTAAATAAATTTAAAAATAACTGCTAATAATAATTTAAATAAGGTAACAAAAGTGTTAAATAGCTCTTTATCTACTGGTTGTAACCTGCTCATTTATTCTTAATTTTAAAAAGCAATGTTGGCATTATTATCAGTTGGCACATCATATTCCAAATTGGAAATAGCTTTTCTCATAACACAAACCCTAGGGATTTCATAAATTGCCGTGTGGGTGGAAAGGTGTTCTCAGAGTTAAACATGAGCGCCTTAATCTGAATAACAAATAGACTAAGCAGTAACATAAAATGGGAATGATACATCTGACAAGTTTCCTTACAGGATTCTAAAAACTTTCCTTATCAAAATTGTGCCAGTTTTGGGATCCTCTTATAGACCTAACCACAAAATATTTACTATAATAGTAAAGCAGTATAGAGCCAAAAGTAGCTCTTGTGATCATTGCATAATAACATTAATATTATGGATCTCTGAACTTAAAATAGATGAATTTATGGTATATAAATTATACCTCAATAAAACTGTTCAAAAATGTTAAGGCTCCCATTCATAGACATTCAACTCCAATAGCAGCAGCAGTTCAAAGAATTTTATTCCTTTTGACAGTTTTCATAATTCTTCTCTAATCTCAATAAAAATCCCTTCTTTAAAGTAAAAAAAAAAAAAGCGTGCTTTGTAAATATACTTTTCAATACCGTTTAAGAAATTTTCCTCCATCCTTATCCTAGTCCCAGGTTCTCATTTTATGTGGCTTTACACTTTTATTTTTCACCTAAAGCAGAGTAATATTAAATTGAATGTGTGGGTAATATTACAGACAGCTGAAAGCTAAAGTTCAACCTTTTCCTCAAAAATAACTAATACACATGATGAAATACTTGTTAAATGCTCAAAAGGCAAGACCCAACCTAGAAACATAAATTTCTTGATGCTCAGAATCAATTTTAAAAGCAAAATCTCAAAACTGATCTAAGTATCTGAATACTACACAGCCAAATGGTATAAATTAAAAAAAAAAAAAAAAAACCAGCAACTCAAAATGCTCCTTTCCATTCCTCAGAGCTGTGTGCTGGGAGACATTGTTTTGGTGCATGAGAGAAAGTTTTGCTCCAAGTAAGGACAGAGGTTGGGCTTTGGAAAGGCTCCCAGTACGTGCAGGGCTCTGGTAAAGTTCTGATAGCCTGCTCTCCTGCTCCAAGTCTATCAGCACACACAGATCCAGCTGTGTTCTCTGAAATTTCTCAAGTGAGAGTATTATAGGGCAGAGTTCATGTCAAGCTTTTATGCTCCTGGGAGGAGCTCTGATGCAACACAGAAACAGTGAACCATGTCTGTTGTTAGTCAGTAGCCAAGGTTAAAAAACAAACAGAAGTCTGTTTAGTTCTTAGTCTTTTCTTACTGCTTTGCTGAACTATGTAACTGTTTACCAACTAGTATCTTGTTCCCTAAACTGTCCTTACTGTAATCCAGGTTGAATGTTCCTAAAATTCTCTTTTTTTGTTATCACTTTTCTCCTCAAAATATTCCTTCATTTTCCATTGCCAACACAGCAAAATATAAATCCCTTAATCTGTGGTTAAGGTGTATCATGAATGTTGTCAATCTATCTAATCCTGCTATACTTTTTTATCTGCATAGTCAAATTAATCGTATTTGTATTTGTACAGTTTTTCAAGAAACAACACCCTCCCTTACCAAGCTATCAGCTGTGTTTCCTTTGAAGCGATAGCCAGCCTGGTAACTCATTACTTTGTACCAGTATTCCTTCTTTCCTCCTCACTTTCCTTCTCCCTCATTCTTGCTTACTTGATAGGATACCCTATACTTGGAATTGCCTTTGATGGCATAACCAAGCAGAAAAGATTTAATTCAATTGATTTTAAAATGCAGCATTTAGACTATATGGTGGGTTATAGCCTATGGACCAAAAGAACCATAAAGACATTCTAAATTGTATCCTATATTGTATCCTAAATTGTATCCTATACTCTTTATGTTAGTGGTAACATTGGTATTGTTATTTTGAAACTATAGATAAAAAATAGCCAAATAGGCCGGGCGCTGTGGCTCACGCCTGTAATCCTAGCTCTTGGGAGGCCGAGGCGGGCGGATTGCTCAAGGTCAGGAGTTCGAAACCAGCCTGAGCAAGAGCGAGACCCCGTCTCTACTATAAATAGAAAGAAATAATTGGCCAACTGATAATATATAAAAAAAATTAGCCGGGCATGGTGGCCATGCCTGTAGTCCCAGCTACTCGGGAGGCTGAGGCAGGAGGATTGCTTGAGCCCAGGATTTGAGGTTGCTGTGAGTAGGCTGACGCCACGGCACTCACTCTAGCCTGGAAAACAAAGTGAGACTCTGTCTCAAAAAAAAAAAACACGCACAAAAAAAACAAACAAAAAAATAGCCAAATAGCAATATAGATGATAGATAGATAGATATAAACCAAGTGGATTTATCACTAGAAACTAAAATTTTTGGCATAAGAGATATAGGTATACAATCAAAGAAATAAAAACCTTCTAGTTTTTAAGTTGAACTGGAAATCATGTATGAGTTCATGACAGTTTTTCTATTAAAATTTTTATTTCCTAGCTATGTACACTAAAAAGATCTAGAAATAGTAATGACACAGTATCGATGAATACCTTTAGTGCCAAAATTGTCATCTCCAAATACCATTTTCCACTAAATTGGAACCAAGACCTCTTGGAGAATTGGATGTTTAGCTCTAGGATGTATATGAGCCTGGATGTCTTTTTGTGTCTGAAAGAAAGAACGTTAACAAAGACTACTAGTGTCATTTCGAAGACACAGGAACCAATTTAAAAGGACTGCCACTGGTCAAAGATAAGGCAACTTCAAAATCACAGAGAGTAATGCCTGCAATGGAGTTAAACACGTCAATATAGGAAATACACATAGTTGTGATGATACTCCCCCTTTAAGGAATAAAATCTCATTACTTATAAAGGTTGCTAGAATACTACTCGTTATTCTGGAATTTGATTAAAGTAAAGATGGATTTGTTGAACTTTTCTTTCCTACAAAGATTGACTTTTAGAGTGTGGTATCCAACCTCCAGGTAACCCCCCAGTGATTCTTGCTTCCTAGTAGATTCTCCTTTCTGTAGTCCTTTCCTTCCTGAAATGGGGCTGACCTGTGTGAACAATAAGATATGCTCAAAATGACAATTTATGACTTCCCAAAGCAAGTCAAAATGTCATGGCAGCTTCTTCTTTTTTTAATAATTAAAGTATTAAATTATGCTTTGCACCGAACTGTTTTTAATAATGATCAGACTGTATTCTACATATCTCTTCTGGTAGTTGTATAGAAAA